TTTTCTTCTTTTAATTATTATTATTAGGTATTATTATTGCAGCTTGAAAACGTACTGCACGACGCGAAAGATAAGAGAGTAAACGTGAATCTCATTGTGTTGTAAAATAATCGTATATAGGTACTCCGTATAGTTCAATTATTATTACAATATGCTTAGTAACAAAATTTAAATTGCATATTCCATAGTTGTTATTATTATATACAGTTACGTTCTAAATAATCCTTTCATCGTACTATCATAATCGAGTGATGCACGTTCAAGTATACCCATATGTGCCTACAGTATGCCGTAACTTGTAATCGTGTCCGTGTATTGCGAGGAATCGCCTCTTTTTTTTATTTTGTTTTTGTCAATGCAGTAGTTCTAAGAGCTAAAATATTTTATTTCAATAACAGTGTAGGTTTTATTTTCATAATCATTGTAACACTACGAGGAGACAAAGGCATTCCGTCCTTCCCCGATTGTGACTCTCCGGTCGCGTTTCGGGCTACTTCTGACGGGTTTTTTTTTTTTAATATTTAAATTTTTACTAGCCATCAATGGATAAAATCATAGAGAAATTTAGTTTAATTAAAACACGCGTGTACAAAATTCAAATATCGAAGACGTCCTATTGTAAATTGTCTTTTTTGTAAAAATGTATAGTTGGTCCTTTTTCTTCGAAAAAAATCAACCGAGGAAACGCCGCTTAAAGAAATTATTAACGCGCGTGATTCAAGCGCGTCAATTCATTTAATTATGTACAATTGCATTGCGAGAATTTTCCAGAAGTTAAAGAAAAAAATTTCGGGATCTATTGTATGTAGTCTGGACAAAGCGTTTGAAAATAAAACCACTTTAGAATATGTGATACAAGTAATAATATTCATATTGTTAATTTTATTTCGAGTTTCGTGTTGGACCGGGCGTCACGTAGTTTTAAAAATCTTCGGCGCTCCGGGGCCAACCTCACCCGCCCCTCCCGTCATCCCCCTCTTAAAATACGGCGCTGCGTGTACGTCATACCCACCGAATCCGTTGACGTGATGCATAGAGTCTACGTAATATGAGTGGAAATGATCAGTAACTGTTATTTATCTACTAATTACATAGAAATAAATTCTAACGAAATGGAGATCGACATTCAAATCAGCTGCGATCTACCGGCCAATCACGATCGACCGTTTGGCCACCCCTGCCGTATACGAACACGAAAAATATGTAAATACGTTATTTTCGTCGCGATTTTTTACTGCATATTATGCGATAAGACCGGCTCGAATATACGATGGTAGGTAACTAATATATAATACGCACGTGTAGATTTAATTTATAACCGGACTGCGGCGACGACGACGGTCATATAGTACGCGAGTGTATAGTTTTTTTAAAAATATTTTCCGAAAATAATAACAATAATTATATTCAAAATTTAACATGCCCGCGACCGTATACTAAATAATAAACGTGCCGCTACGGTCTCGTTAACCAGGTGAAATTATTGTCGTCGGGCGCCATAAAATCGCATCCCTCGACAAGGACTACAGTCGGATTTGAAACTCGCACACGACGTGTTAAAAAACAAACAAAAAAAAAAACCAAGACGCGCGGATGTAATTAAATCACACTCGAACACCGCGTTATGGACATAATATAATACAGTATAATATTGTAATAAACACGAGAATATTCATTTTTTATGCGCTTTTTACGGGCGTCGCGGCCGCGCGCCGTGTGCGGGAAATTCCTGCAGCGCGAGCATCGTGTTTCATTTGGCGAGACCCGGACGCGGAGAAAGCCGATTACCGCGTCGAACGATCCGGTACGCCATTACCGTCGCCTTTTTTTTTTTCTTTTTTCTAATCGTGGTGTAATAAACACCGAGTTTCGGGAACGGCCCGAACACGCTCGTATAGTTTTAGTTTATGTCTACGTAAAATTGACATTTTGACTGTACGCCCGTCTTTCTGTCCCGCAAGCGCGAATAGAGGGGAGGGGGATGCTTTTGGAGCTTAACTCTTCCAAAAACGTCCAAATAGTCCTCTGTTAACCCGTTCGTTCATTTTGTTTTACACTCGTTGAATCGAATGTTTCTAAAGACGTAAATGCTATACATAATAACACCGAAATATGTATGCGTGTGAGGTGGTACGCCTTTTGTACATAGTAAATAGTACCGAGCATATTTAATTACGGGTCAACACCTAGAAGGTGACTGTTGCATAGTTTTCAGAACAAAAATTGCATTTATTTTGTTGGTTCATGGGTTAACTTGGATTGTTGGTGACACGGATTAAAAAAATAAAATTCAGTAATAGTTATTCAGTTTGATCGCCACAGGAAAGGAAGTACTTACCCTTTTAAATAGATAAATTACCGGACAACAACGATTAATTGTGATAGGGCTAAGAGCGAAAACGAGGAGACACGTTTAATTGAACTTCTTTTATTGATTTTCGTTTTTGAAAGAATTTACCATTTGATATACCGGGCAACTCGGTTCTATTTGAGTATATTGGTGAAAAACATTAAGGGGAACAACGTCTGTAGTCTATACACAACATATACATTACATTTGTTTTCTCTGACTATCTTGTTTATACATAGTTTAGCAAAAAGCCATTTTGCACTTCAAGGTGAGTTTAGGGCAAAGTGACCTGCTTGACATTTTATAAAGAAGGACCTTGACCGAACGATTGTTTTAACGTTGTCATTTATTAAAAAGTCTTTAATGGTTCAAGTTAAAAAGAGAAATCAAGTTTAATCAAAACAGGTATTTTTTTTATTAAAGAAAATGAAAATATTGAAAACCCGATTTTGTGTAGAAGTACCTCAACTCGTGGTTAATTCAATGGAAAAAAGTGATACTGTTAAAAAATCAATTCTGAGCAAAGTAGTTTTAGTAGTGTTTTTTCCCTTGTTGCTAACAACATAAGGTACCATATGAAATAAACAACAAATTTCCGTTTTTCCCAGTTATCAACTACATGCAAAATCGAATAACGACCACATCAATGCTCTAACTAGATCAAAAATGACATAAGAAAATTCGTATAAGGTTTACAGACACACAAAAACACACTTCATCGTAAAATATCACGTTCCTCTCGCTTCGGTCAGAATGTAGCTATTTTTTAAACGCCGTATTTTAATAATGCGTTTATAATTTAAAACTGTCGATTTCTATCGGTTCGGCCGTCAATTGAATCGATCTGGTTCACGAAGGTAAATAATAATCTCGATTTTACGGTAGTCACGAATTCACGACGACGTGGAGTATGATCGTAATACTCGTGTATGTATTTTTTTTTTAAAGAGTCACGCGTATAATAATTATTGATTTCGAACATAGCGATGTCGCGGGGGAACGAAACCCGCGATTGGACGATGTGAATGCCAAAAATTATGTGCTGCTTGCCCCGATGTCCGTACACGAAATATTAAATTCACCGTCTATGTTGATTTAGCGCTCGGCCGAGGTTATTATTATTGTTATTCGTTTGGTGTCTTTGGAAAAAATCGAGAACGAACCTCCGTGGCGCACAGTGAACCAGAATCAGTTCATAATTTGACAAAAATATGTTCTGTGATATTTCTTCACTTGATTTGGGTTTATATAAGTCTTAGAAGTAAGGTATTTAAAAATCAAAATTAACAATCACTTACTTATTAGTTATTGCTTCCATATGGGTTTTTTAATACAGTCTACACACGTATAAATAAAAGTGTCCAAGCTTATCTCTGAAACGGCTGAACGAATTTCTATGGGACTTTCACTGTAAAGCTATAGCGGTGGCGTGCTGAAGATATTTTATACTCGAGACTAAAAAATATAATTAGGTGACTCCCACTATAAACAAGAGATGTTTATGTGTCCTATAAATAATCAGTTTTACAGCGAATACCTTATTCAGCTAAATTGACCGCATAATATAGACAAATACGCATACGTATATTAATGATACGGTACGCATAAGGGCATCTCTGATCCCCGAACTAGTTAATTTTTATCGACATTCATCATATTTATTTTTAAAAATACAACCCACAAATAAAATTAAATATTTAATTTGAATTCGCGACCCCGGCGTGCGCCGGTAATTTTGAATAGATCAACAGCATACGAAAAACTACAATAACGTTAACGTTGTATTGATAATCAAATAGAACATTTCGAAAAATTGTTTAGAAAAACGTGAAATGTTATTGGGTACCGTTACCTGCTAATCGATGTATTCAATGACGTCAATTCGAAGTTTAATGTTAAATGTATATTGGAAAATAAACGAGTGATATACGATGTACGGATGACATCGGGAAAAAGAAACTTACGCATATTTACGCATAGCTTGTTATCCGGTATATTAATCGCTAATTATCAAAGTGTAACGGCGGATTATCTATTTTCTGAACGTTAAATAATCAATCATTTGATTGTCCCGTTTTGAACTTATACTGGCCCACTGTGCGGCAGCGCAGTGACGTATCCGCTTAATAAATAATAAAGTAATAATAAAAAAAAACGTGTACATTTATTTATTACGTTGTAATGTGAAATATTAAGCTAAAATTCTAAATGGAAATTTACACTTACTTTAACTTGACAATAGTTTGACTTTTTTTTACTCGTTAACGCCAAATGCATTGTCGAATACTCCTCGCTGTACGTTCGAATTTAAAACTAACAATTTAAAATTAAAACGAAAACGGCGGACATACTTCGCACGATGGGCGCAGCCACTGTTGGTGAGAAGTTGGGAAGAGTTGGGTATGGAGGGGAAATTCATTTGTATTTGTAAGCAACGATAAACCATTGCTTACTAAAAACGATTCTGAGCGGAATTTAGTTGACTGTAATGCTTTGTCAACAATATATACGTCATATTATGGTAAAATAATTAAATAGGCATATATTTTTAATTTATTTGATATTGTACCGATATTCCCGTTTTTTTCACATTTTCTGGGAAAACTCTTGAGAAAATCGAAAAATGGTCTCCTTAAAGAACCTCTCCAGTCGGATTGTCTTTAGTAAAAATGTTATCATTGTAAATTGGAGCAAAATTGCTGGTAGAAAAGTTGTACGCAGAAAAAATAAATCATAGTATTTTACTAATATATTTACACGTATTCCCATTTTTTCTCACTTTTTCTCTTTCATTGGGAAAACTGCCGGGAAAATAAAAAAAAAAAACCCTCTCTAAAGTGCCACACCGAGAAAATTTCAAAAAAGGGTTTACATTGTATACATTGGAGTAAGCATTCTGGTAGAAAAGTGTTTGCATAAAAAAAAAAAAAAAAAAAAAAAAAAAAAAACCCCC